CATCATAAATAATGTTACAGTTATATAAGAAAATATCTTCAGCCCTAGCTGGTTTGACTTGGTGGATAGTTGGCCTGCGAACTGAAAGGTCCCAGGTTCGATTCCAATCAAGGGCACATGCCCGGGGTTGCAGGCTTAATCCCCAGTAGGGGGTGTCCAGGAGGCAGCCGATCAATGATTCTCTCCCTCTCCCTCTCTAAAATCAATAAGAATATATTAAAAAGAAAGAAAGAAAGAAAATATCTTCATCTTCCAGACAGGTAGATTGGAATATTTAGAGAGAAGATGTTATGATATCTGAGTTTAGTTTAAAATACTCTAGAAAACAGGAAAATTAAGCAGCAAATGTGGAAAATGCTTTGTCATTGTTAAATGTAGAGGGTATGTTTGTTTTACCACACCTCTAACTTTTTAAAATGCTTTAAAAAACAAGATGAAAAGTAAAAAAATAAAATAAAAAATTCAATGAATAAATGAGAACAGATGAGAGAAGAAACCATTCCTATATTAGAGGTTTCTTTTGTTCTATCCTTTAATGACTTTGTTGGCATATTACACTATAGCTTCCAATGTCAAAAATAGCAATCTTTATATATATGCTACAAAGAAGATAAAGGTGAGGAAATAATCTCCAGAATTCAGTTACTTAAAATAATAGTTTTCTAATAACTTACTAAGGCTTTTAGAGGCCATTGCTTATATTGACTGTTTATTAATCATCAAGTCATTGAGGAACATAAAAAAGAGAAAAAGGTATGAACGCTGAGGGGTAAGTGAAGGAAATTAAGTCAACACAATAGACCCCAAATGGCAGGAACTGTCCTGAACGGTGAGCCAGTCCTGGCTGGAGCGCCCCTGCTTCCTGTACATGCTGCGGGCAGGCCACTGACCCTCCCAGTCAGTCTTCTCAGCTGTAAAATGGGAGTCACTGGAGCACCTGCCCCCCAGCGAGCTGCTCCCGGCGTAAAGGAAGCAACCATGGTCCCTCCTGTTGCCTGTCCTCCTGTGCACAGGCCCCGGGGCTGGGGGAAGGGTCTGAGGGCTTGAGCGTGTGTGGGAAAATGGAGGCTGGCTAGCTTCTCACAGAAATCACTAATTAGCCAACAACCACTGCCCTGCTGGGGCCCAGCCGGGACTGTGAAGTCAGCCAAAGCTTCCATTACTGCCTGGAACCCTCCAGCTGTCCCAGAATTGTTTACTTAAAGCCCCCTCAGTGGTCTGCTCCTCAGCTCTGTCTCTCACTCCATTTGGGCCCAATGCTCAGGGCAGCTAATCTAATCAGCTAATCTATGCTAAATTATTAATGGATTCAAGAGGTTAATGTGTAACAAGCCTCCCCTCCAACTGAGGCATGCTGGAGACACAGTCCCTGGTGACTCATTAGTCTGGGTGGGAATTCCGGGCACCAGGCAGCCCCCCTCACATCAAATCAAATTCTGGGAAGGCATTTAAAAATTCCTACAGAAAAGGTAATTCATATGTGAATACAATGGAATCAACAGAGGGATCTCGGCCAAAGAATCCTCTAAGGCAGTGGTTCTCAACCTTCCTAATGCCGCAACCCTTAATATAGTTCCTCATGTTGTGGTGACCCCCAACCATGAAATTATTTTTGTTGCTACTTCATAACTGTAATTTTGCTACTGTTATGAATCATAATGTAAATATCTGATATGCAGGATGTATTTTCATTGTTACAAATTGAACATAATTAAAGCATAGTGATTAATCACAAAAACAATATGTAATTATATATGTGTTTTCCAATGGTCTTTGGCGACCCCTGTGAAAGGGTCGTTCGACCCCCAAAGGGGTCGAGACCCACAGGTTGAGAACCGCTGCTCTAAGGAGACCAGGACAAAGGCTATGTTTATGAGCTTTGTATGGACTTCTCTGTGTCTCTATTTTCCCAACTGCAAAATCAACCCAGGCGGAGGTAAGGATTAAAACATATAATCCACATAAAACATGGGTAAGAGTGCCTGCCACACAACGCATGCTCAACAGATGTCAGCCATTGTTAGTGTCATTTAGGGATTAGATTAGATGGAAGTCAAAAAGGATGTTCTGAAATCTTAAGTAAAAAAGCATTTTTTAAAGGCAGCTTCTTCCATTGTTTTCAGGGTAATCTGGCCCACAGTGGACCACACTAGGATCCCCCCCGGGCTCAAGTCAGCCCACTTCCTACCAGCTGTGTGACTTTATAGCTGTCATTTTCTCTGCTGTAAAATAAGGATAATAATACCTACCCTGCAGTGTTGATGAATGGATTACATATGATAATGTATGGAACATGGGTAGCACTGAGACCCCACACGCGCATACTATGAGACCAACAAATGATGACTTTAATTATCATCTTAATATTTTTCCGCCTTTATGATCATACCCTTGGGAGCCTAACCAAAAAGGTACGACAGTACATTCTAATGGGGTGACAGGTCTGAAATCCCTAATGGAGACTAAACCATGGTGATCCCCAGGACAGTCCAATGGGTACCAGGAATTTAGTGAGATGGAGAGGGACCCTCAGCTCTGACTAGCCCAGTGCTCCAAAGAAGTAGCTACAAAGCAGGATTTCTACCTGTGTGGCATCGAAACTCTCTCATTCCCAAACAGGCAAGCAAGCGAGTATAGGATCTTGGCTTGGCTGTTGGTCCCTGGTGACAAGTGCTATGGGGCTACACAATAACTACATGCCCCCACCCCCATTTTTTTTCAAACTCCGTTTTCTGATTATGAAACGGCTACAGAATCATGGCAAAAATATAAGAACATAAAAGACTGCCTCTGTTCCTGCCAAACAGAAATAATTCCTTTTAATATGTCCATGCATATTGCTTCAGATTTTTTCTCTACACCCCCATGCACCCACACACACTTTATTATTTAAGAAAATGAAATCATACCATATACACTGAATCATCACTGCCTGTTCACATACTATACATATTTCTGTGTTTGTTAACATACATCTCTGCCATCATTTTTAATAGCTGCATAGGAATCCATCAACTGCATACCTCACCCCCCACCCCTGGGCACTCAGGTTGTTTCCAGCATTTTTCTATAATAAACAACACTGTACTGAGTATTCTCCCATAAATACCTTACACAATTGTCCGATTATTTCCACAAAAGTGGCATTGGTGGGTTAATAAGTGTATAATTCCTAAATGCCTTAAGAAACAAAAACAGCTGGCCTTGCTGAGATGGGAGGGTGAGAGAGGTATTTTAGCAACAGATAAACACTGTCTTCTATGCCCCTACGCCCAGGCAAACAAGACAATCCTTTTCCTGTTGGCCCACTCCCTGCCTTTCACTCACCTATCAGAAAGCATGTCTATCTCACTGATAAGGACAACTACATCCCCTTATGCAAAATTCAGGGTCAAATAGAGAGTGTCCATGTGATAGAACCTGGGGTTTCATCTAGAAATGCAAAGGGAAGGATGGGCAGAAAGGGGCTTACAAAAAAGCAAAGGTTCCTGAATGGCTCCACGGGCAGGCCACTTGGTTACTCTTGGTTACCACTCAGTGATCTTGGGGGGGCATCCCTGAATCTAAATGGGTTGATATTTACTGAGAGGATGTTTTCCTCTCTGGCCACAGGGTCTTCTCCCACCCCCCACCTATTTTCACTCCCTATGCGAAGGCTACCTGGTTTCAGAGGTTGCCATGACCTGCTGGCCCATCTCTCTAATGGCAGCTGGCAACTGTGCCATACTCCAAAGTTCTTTCCAACTATTGTGAGCCCCTGCATCTGAGCTGAAAGAAGGGGTGCAGGAGCAGCTGGAGGAGAGAAACCAGAGTGGCGAGTTCAGCAGCAACCTTTGGAGGAACAGTCAAAGCTGCTGGAATGAAGGAAGGGCCCACCACACCGGTCACTGACAAGCCAAAGTCAGAAGGAAAAATAAAGGCTTGCCATGGTGATCTGAAATGTGGCCCTTAAAGGCCCCAAAGCAACAATGCCCAGAACCAAATAAGCTTTTGTGAAAAAGTAAGCCATCTTCCACTGTCCTCAATCTTCACCTTTCTAGATTCCCTCTTCTTTATGTTTAAACAAGATTTGACAATGACTTGTCCTCTAGCCCAGAAAATCAATCCAAAGTCCATTGACTTGGGTAGTTAATTTAAAAATAAACCTTGAGGGTATTTTGAAAGGCATTATTAAGTCTTCTCCTTCTCTCTCTCTCTCTCTCTCTCTCTCTCTCTCTCTCACACACACACACACACACACACACACACACACACACACACCTGCACAGAGAAAACGAACCATGGAATAAGACAGGCAAACAAGGGTTTTCCTTATGGTCTAGCTGTGAGATCGTCAGTGGGGTCATGGGGTCATCTCTGAAAGCCTCAGCATCTCTGCCAGGTCCAGTGCGGGGAGAATGCTGCCCAGCTCACCGGCAGCATGCAGCCTCAGTGCACCTGGCCAGGATCCAGCTGTGGGCACAGATGCATCTGAGAGAAACCCGACCGTGTGACCCACACTTCCAGTCACATATTCCTGAAGCCACAGAACATGAGCTAAGCTGAAGCTGATAGGAAAAATCCCAAGAAACACATAGCTTTTGAGTTCCATTTGTAACCTTACATGATAAAATAAAGAAATAGAAAACAAGAAACATAAGCAATTGCTGACTGAAGATATGGCTCTAATAGCCTAAGACAGCGGTCGCCAACCGGTGGTCCGCAGACCACTGGTGATCCGTGAGGTCCAAAAGCTTGGCGACCACTGGCCTAGGACATTACTAAGCTTAGTCATATTAGCAACTCCAACGAAAGAGGCAGCTCTGCCCAGAGTGGGCTTGGAGTCACTGCTCTTTTTAGCTTTCACATCTGTACAATGGGGATATTCCGACCTCACTGGAAGATCAAATAAAAGACAATGACCATGGTAGTGCTTTTAGCCTATGAAAGAGCCACATGTCTGCAGCAGGGCAATGACCCATCACAGGGGTGGGATCTCTGCTGAAGGAAGACACGAATACCTGAGGTGTCGCACGCGTGCCTTTCTGTGGAGGGCTCTTCCTGGGTGGTGCTGAGCCTGTAGATAACGTGGGGTTTGTTTTGTTCATCTTCATCTTCTGGTTCATCCACGGACAGCAGTGGCTCAATAAAATAATCCCCATCCTGGGACCGGAACATTCCCAGCTGCAAAGGAAGAGATGAGGAGATGAGAGCATAAAGATGAAACATTTGAAAGTGGAGATGGTGCCATTTGACCCAATCCCTTTGTCATGAGGGCTGCTTGGCTGCTTAATGCTGCGGACACACTTGGAGAGCGATTTATTTTCACTCTCAGCCATACCAGTACCTTCTCCTTGACTTGACACTATTGTTCCTGCTCACCAAATCCGTCTCTAAGGAATACTTCCTTGGTGCTCAAGTTCTAATCACATATTCCCTTCTCCAGGCTGTTGAAAGACAGTGTTTCTCTGTGTGAAGACAGCTGGAAATTTAGGGACCCATGTGAGCTCTGAGAGAAAAGCTGACCCATGGAAGAATTATCATGACTTCAAATTCAGGAAGCATATGTTGACCACAAGGCACTCAAGGTGGTGCCACCTGTGACACTAGGCCATGAGTCTCTCCCCTCCTTCCCTTTGCAACAGGCAGTGATTCAGTACCAGGCTTTGGGGCCGGGCTGCCCAGCACAGGTCCCAGTCCCAGCACAGCCTCTTACCCACCCATCTTGCCACCCATCTTGGGTAAGTTCCTTAAATGCTGAACCTCAGCTTCCTTGTTCGTCAATTAGGGATAAACTTACTATAAAGGATTATCCTTTAGATTGAATGAGATAATGCACTTAAGGTACTTAGCACCTTGTAAGGGCTTAGAACATATTAGTGGCTTTTGGTGTTGTGGTGTTAGCCTCTAACTGCCAGGATACTGTTGTGTTTGCCAATCATTCTAAGCACTTTGAAAGTGGCAACTCTTTCTCCTCTCCTTCTCACATACCCACAGTTTTGCAAATGATGAATGACGCCTCAAGGTTGACCCACCCAAACAAAACATTACAAGAGCATGAAAAAGTTCCCCATGTCGTGCAATGTGTTAGAGTCAAACCCTTCTCTCATTTTCCATTGTTCTTTTTCCTGCACTGGGGGAGAAAAAAAAAGGAGAAAAAGAAAAAGTAAAGGAAAAGCAGACCTTTTACCATTCCCTGAGTCAAACCCTTCTCTCATTTTCCATTGTTCCTTTTCCTGCACTGGGGGGAGAAAAAGAAAAGGAGAAAAAGAAAAAGTAAAGGAAAAGCAGACCTTTTACCTTTCCCTGGACACAAGAAAATGACTGTCCATAAAGGTTATAAGCATCATCCAGAAATTTGCTAGAAATTCAAATAATCACGCTCCACCCCAAATCTGACCCACTGAATCAAAATCTCAGGGCAGGGCAGGAGTTGGAATTTTAATGAGCACTCCATGGTATTCTTATGCACGATAAAGTTTGTGAAGCATTAGGCTAGGACAGGTTCCAAACCCAGCTAAGATTCAAAATTGTTTGGGAAGTTTTTTAAAAATTCAGATTTGGGGCATGACCCCTTATCTGCAAATTGAATTTCCAGGGGTAAGGTCTAGCATCTATGTTTTTTAAAAAGTTCTCTACATGATTTAGAGGCCACTAGCTCAACGAGGGAACAGCTCTGGTGTGCACAGAGCAGGCAAAAGAGTAGCTGGTTTTTGGCGAAGTGATTTAACAACTTTATTCTCACTCAGGCAGCTCTCTCTGTTTCCAATACTCAACTCTGGTGTTCTCTGAACACAGTGCAGGATGTAAAACCTACTAGAGACAGACCGTAAGTACTGGGAAAAACCTGGGAGTTCATCTGGTGAGGGTCTGGCCCGTCTGGTGAAAAGGGAAGCCGAGGGAGAAAGCGGCTGGTCTGCAGTTGCCCTTTGGTGGTACAGAGCAGCTGAACAGAGCCAGTGCCGAATCTAGAACTCAGGTATCCCAACTTCAGTCCAGTGCCTTTTTTATTTTATCTTTACTGTTATTTTTAAATCCTCACCCAAGGACATGTTTTTATTGATGCTTAGAAAGAGAGAGTGAGAGAGAAAGAAACATGGATATGAGAGAGAAACATTGATCAGTTGCCTCCTGTATGCACCCCGACCAGGGATGGAGCCTGCAACCTAGGAATGTGCCCTGACCAGGGATCAAACCCACACCTTTTGGTGCATGGGGTGACGCTGGCCAGGGCAGTGCAGTGCCTTTTTAAATTAAATTCTCTTTAGGAATATGGATTCAGTCTCTGAGTGGCTAAATGCATGGGTCAGAAAGACTGGGTGGGAACCCCAGCTGTGCCACTTAGGAGTGTGAGACTTCGAGCAAGCCTCCAACTCTCAAAGCCTCACTGTCCTCATCTGTAAAATGAGTTGAGGATTGGATTGTGTGAGGGTTCTGTATGAGATGATGCATACATAAAGTACTCATTATAAGGCAAAGCACATAATGAGAGTTCAATAAATGGTACCCATATAGTGCCAAATTAATTTTGTTGTTGATTCACAAGTAAATGCTTGATCTAAGAGTAATTTTCTTGGTCAAGGTGAACATTTATTCAAACATACAGGGTATACAACCAGTTTGGCTCAGTGGATAGAGCATCGGCCTGCGGACTCAAGGGTCCCAGGTTCGATTCTGGTCAAGGGCATGTACCTTGGTTGCAGGCACATCCCCAGTAGGGAGTGTGCAGGAGGCAGCTGATCGATGCTTCTCTCTCATCGGTGTTTCTAACTCTCTATCCCTCTCCCTTCCTCTCTGTAAAAAAAATCAATAAAATATATTTAAAAAACCACAATAAACCTTTAAGGTTTTAAAGCATGTACCTTTAAAGAAACATGGCTAACTGACATGCCCAAGCATCATAAAGTGATTGTCTAGAATCAAATGGCAGGAAAGCTAATTGCCATTTAATTGTGTTTTGAAAATTTATTTTTCCTTGTTGGAAGCTTTGTCTAGGGTCAAAGAAGGAAAAAAAAAACATAGATAGGAAATGATAATAAAAGTTGTAACAGTTAAAATTGTAAGGGGTCCTGGACTGCGAGAGCCCTGGACTGCAAGAGGGCACAGGCCAGGCTGAGGGACCCCCCCCTGCCCCACCCCCCGTGTGTGAATTTTGTGCACCAGGTCTCTAGTGTACCTATAATATCTAAGGCTCCAATATGGAAGAGAAATGAATTGATGTTGATCCTGCTGCCAAAGAGAAAGGGACAGACCATACCTACTAAGAACTATAATTATAATACAAGGGAGCAAACAGAAGAACCATAAGAGAAATATTTACACATACACATATGCATCTATGAAGGTGAAGAGGGAGACATGACAGCAGTCCATAGGACCAGGAACATGTTTCCTGGGAAGAAAGATATCTAAGTTACATTTAAGTTACACTTCAAAAGAAGGGCATGATTTGAGCATGTGAAGCTGGGTGAGATGAACAAATAAGTCTGGAGGCCCAAGGGCAATGAGGCAGGATTAGGATAGAAGGGAAATTCAGTAAAAGAAGCAAAAGCAGGTTGCCTGAAATATAGGCCTTGTCGAGGAAAGCTTGAGAGATGCCCCGGACCTGCCGGCCTGAGAGGGGTGAGAAGCACTGCAAATGGTCTCAAGGACCACACGGAGTTCACAGTTGTGACTGGGCATGCGCTGTGCAGAGCTGGTGAGCCGGGAACCATGTGGCCTTGCACCCGGTGATCATTCATTTGTTAGTGGCAGAGCTTAAGAGAGAAGAGTCTGGAGGAAAAGCCAGAGACAAATATTTCTTAGACATCAGTCCCAATGAGCAGAGAAGTGAAGAGGGCTAGAGTTAGGGTAGGGATGCTCAGAAAAGGTAAGAGACACATCTGAGATGGAATTCAGGGAAACTGATACTTTACTAGTGAGGTGTGTGTGTGTGTGTGTATGTGTGTGTGTGTGTGGTGATGGGGGGGAGGCAGAAATAGCATGGTCCACCCTGAAGAGTGAAAGATTTCCTGGGGGCTTTTAGGCCACTGGGAACACCACAATTCCACAGCTACAAAAAATGGTAAGGGGAAGTCTGGTGGTGGTGGGGGGGTGTAGGTTGGAGGGGTAGGGAGGCGGAGAAAGATAAGTTTCAGAAGGAAGACAAAGGGGCGAGGGTTTGGGGGATAGATTAATCACTGACGTGTGCATATATTTAGGATGTATGTTAGAACTGCCCCCTTCCTCCAAAAGAGGCAGATTGCAAATTAAATGCAATATCAATAGGCTTATCAGAGTCTAGGCATCGTTTCTGAAGAACTGTCCTCAGTGGCCTAAGAGTTACCTCTCGCAGTTCCACGTGCGAGTGGCTGCCTAAAACTGCCAATAGAAATGAAGGTCCTGCGCAGCAAAATATTCATACAACCGCAGGGGCCACTCAGCGGGGTGTGGAGGCGGGGAAGGGGAGGAGTAAAGGCTGTTTACAAACTTGACATACAGACGCAGCCCGACCCGTTAGGTTCTGAAATTCGGGGTTACAGTCTTGGGATCCGCAGGCGCTCTGATACCCTTGGCTCCGGCACCAGGCTTATGCCCACACCGGCCGGCTGGAACCTTTCGAGGAACAGAATTCCTGGGCTCCAGCCCTACCTAGGTCTGGAGGCAGCGATGACTCACCAGCACCCCCTCTGCCTTAGCCAAACTGCCGTCTCCGCCCACCCCAGTCTCCACGTCGCGCCGCGGCTCTCTGCTGGGGGCTCAAGGGGCTCATCCTGATGCCCGCATCCCAGAGTCTTAACCTGCCCGCTCCCAGTCATCAGGTTTGCCTGGCTCGCCTCCCGACCCGTCCCTCCGCTGAGCGGCGGAGATGGATGCGACATCCCCACGGGGATCTCTGGACTCTCCGAACAGCAGCAGCAGCGCGTGGAGGGGCAGCTGAGCACCCCGGTAAGTATCCATGCCCCCACTTTAAAGGTGACAGTGGGCGTGGGGGTGCTTAGGGGAAGACTAACGCAGCACCGGGCGCCCTGCGCTAGGAGAGCCTGACCCGGGAAAGTTTCTGCGTCACACGCGCGTGGCAGCAACGCACGTCGCTTGAGAAAGTCAAGGCTGCTATCAGTCGGGCCAGAATCTTACTGCGGGTCCTC